TCCTACTTCCGTAGTGATACTGCCTCGGAAACCCAAGGAGGGGTCGCTATGAGTCAGGGCTGACTCGATGGCACATAACAACAACAACAACAGCACTCAGGGGCAAATCCCTCAGCATTCACAGTCCTTACAGCTTTGTGAGGAGGGCCACAAAGTTCCTGGAGGGACTTCCCAGTGAGCTAAAGCCACAGAAACAGGCCCAAATAAGCCCCTAAGGCCCCCTCCTGTGGGTAAACTGCTTTGGCCCAAAACACTTTCACAAATACTTGAATTTGATCCTCACAATTAAGGGCAGTTATTATTGTCCCTTGTTTTCTGGTGTGGCAGTTGAAGACTGGGAGGCTCAGGGCCCACTATTAGTAAGTGACAGGCCACATTTTTACCCAGTCCTTTCTGCTCCAGAAATCAGAGTTCTTGCTTCTCAACCCTCTTTGCTGCCTCTGAGTTACAGGATTATAAATGATAATTGACAGATGAGGGATGTAGACAGGGTCACCATGGCAAGTTCAGGGCCAGGAGCTGGGGTCAAACTCCCTCTGTTCCCTCCTCCACCCACAATGGCCTTTGTGACAGAAAGGGGGAAGGGGAGGCTGTGGGAACTGGAGGCTGTTTATGGAGGCTAGGCTGTCCCTCTCTTTTTTTAACTGTTAAGGTCTTGCTTTCTCCCAGAGTCACTACAGTGGGTCAAGGTCTCCCTAAGCAAGGAGCCCCCTAGAACCCAAAGGAAAATGGTCCTTAATCACTGGATCAGGCTTCCCAGGGGTATAACCCTTGCAGGGTGGGGCTGGGGCCATATGTGACATTGTAGGCTGCCCGGTCCCACATACCTTCCACTCTCATACCCCCAGTCCCTCTCTGGAAGGGCAGGCTTGAACTGAGCTTTAAGTGGTTTCTGTGGTTTGGGGGGTAGGGAGGAAGGGAAAGAGAAGTTGGTGACTGCTCCCCAGTTCCAAGCCACCACTACCACACCCCCTTGCCCAGGGTGCCTGCCCCCTGTGTTGAGATTCCCCGGCCTGATAAGGCAACTTGGGCACGTGGTGGGTAAAATGATTCTCTGATCCCTATCACTTTCTTTCTTGCATAAGAATGTAAGAATGTATTTGAGGAGGAAATAATCACTGCCCTGGTTTGAAAGTACTGATTCCTCTGGAATAGGGGCTGTGATTGCAGCAAGAGGAACTAAGGTTAGCTATCAGGGGGGACTTCCCAAAAGGATGATCCAAGTACTTTCTTGCCCTGGGGAGAAGGAACCTCAGCCATCCATGCTAGGGCAGGGAAAGGATAGATGACAAAGTCTAGGAAAAATATGATTCTCAACCTCCAGTCACTTCCTCCCCATCCCACCCAGTGGTACAAAGTGGCATGGCTGGGAGAGGCAACCATACTCTCAGTGTCTGGGGAGGGCAGGGCTGCATGGCACAGTGCCACATCGAGTGCCTACCCCCAGGCACTCCACTCTGTGCCTACAATCATGAGAAGGGATCCTGTGAGACCCAGAGTCACAGAGGAAGAGAAGCCTAGAGGGAAGATCTAGAGAGGGGAGAGCTGGAGAGGCACGGGGAACAGAAGAGCCATAGACAGGCCGGGAGTAAGTAGCAGGGAGAGACAGAGAGATGGAGGATGGTGAGTGGAAACAAGGACAATCATTAAGTGGGGAGGCAGAGAATGTGGCAGTACCCAGACACAAGAATTCCAGGGGATGGAGGAAAGCAAAACAACCCTGCACCCCATCTCTCCACCTCTTGCTAGCTTTACTTGTCAGCTTTTATATGCCCCACTATCCCTTGCCCTGCAGCCAGAGGTGCTGGGTGGAGTGGTGCCAAAGAGAGCTTTGCCTCTTCCTCCAAACCTGCCCAAGGGACAGAGCCCCACACAGAC